AGTGCTAACGTGCATTGGAATATATTGTCCATATTTTGGAAATAAATTAGAAGTAAAATCTTATGGTTAGTTGAGCCCATGGTCTATGAAATTATCTTCACGTGACCGAAACTTATAGAAAACAAATGGAGAAAAGGTCGATGTTTCGCTGCAGTTATTTCAGTCTTTTCTATATAACGGACATCATTTTAACCTCATAATATTAATCGACCAAGGAATGTTTATACCAAATTACAGCTTCTTATCTCAGCTTTTGTAAATGCAGCGAGTCCACAAAAACTATAGGTCAAAATGATCAATAACGCTAATTAATTGCTTTCCAAGGCTTTGCAGGCTGCCATCTCCGACTCAGGCCTCAAAGCTTATTATTAGTGGTTATTATAAACTGGAAAACTGGGAAAAAATGTTTAAATAACAATTGAAACCATCAAAAGATATGGAAGGAAAACTATGAGCTCTTTTTCCACTTAAGCGCGCAGATATAATAACATATATTTTGTCTAAAAAGTCTGCTTCAGGTCTTGAAATAACTGGAAAAGTTGATCGAAGAACTTTTTAAACTTTCGGAAGATGCATGGAATTTGGACAATCAAAATATTGTAGAGAGTATTAGAAAACTATCTAGAGCGAATGTTGTTGTTGAAAGAAGGCAGAAGAAGCGTTGAGCACAATGAAGGTTCCTGCCTCTCTTGGAGAGTTTTCAATACACACCATTTCAAGAGAATCAAGGATTTTGCAATAGTGTATCCTCCTCTCATCGAGAGGACGTAGTAATATTTACTCATAGAGTAGTAATAATGAATATTAAAAAAGATTCGAGCCGATAAATTAAGAGTTTGCGAATGTATGCAACACTCAACAGGATTTGAGATAGGACCATCTTTTATTATATCAATCGATTCAGAAGGACTTTCTGATTTGATTTAATAGTATCTGTCTGTCTATGTCTGCCCGTCTTGGTTCCTACAGGGCACAGTTATGGAAATATTTTGGTAAAATTTATTACAATGACATATTCTGGCCAAAAGAGGAACGCTAATGGAAATAGTTAGAATCGGCTCACATTTTCAACGTTTCTCATACAATGTATTATTTTAAAAAGCTGTTGTGTAATTAACTGTAAAATGGTGTAGCGCATCTAATAGTCAGTGTTAGCTTGCTATAATATTTTCACTTGTTTTATATACTTTATCAAGTTTGGATACATATTTTAGTATTGGTTTTTTCTGTATTGAAAATGTACGTAATTATTTTTTTAAGCTGGGTATGCACGATTGTGAATGCAATTTTAAACTTTCAACATTGTATCATTTTCCGCATAACAAAAATTTAAACATTGGCTCAAATTTCACTACTTTACCATTCCGCGAAGAACCCGCGCTGACATCTCGAATTTATTGTAAGGCACTGCTATGAAATACCTAAGATTTTTATGAAAAAAGCACATAAATGAAAATAAACACATACAATGTATAGTAAAACCATGAAAAAAATTATACTTGCCGCTGCAGTTACAAAATATGATAATCCAAACAAACGAAGCAACCTAAATTACATATATCTGCATGAGAGATGAAAAAAATTTAAGTGGCAGGGAATAAGCCCTTCCAAACATAAAACAAAAGTAGATAGAAGTGATGGGGTAGTCACGAAAAATGTAATTCGCTCGTAGAAGTTTTACCTCAATACAATTAAATAAACGGATCAGAATCAGTATGTAACTTTTAGTTTTGAAATAGGCAACGGAAGTTAAAGATTTGCTACAGTTTTCACGACGCTTTACGCTTTTTATGGATAACTTCTTGTATACGCTACAAATCCATATGGCTTCGAACGCTTTTTAAAAATGTTTGATAGTTTCGTCTTTTTCTTAACCTGTCGCAGTGGGGAGTTGTATTATTTACATCATCGATCAATGTGCATGGAATTTTGTGGGCTTGCATACATTTTGATAATTTTGATAAAAGCCATTTATTGAGAAAAATTGATACAATGTATGTTGATCAAAATATTTTCCTTCATTTTCTACAACTTTTTCCCATCTTTTCGGCAACATGACGATAACGTGTTAGTTTCTTGCGTACTTCCTCAGCAGTTCGAAATCTCGTGCCAGCTACGCCATACTTCATTGATTTGAATAAATGGATCAGAAGACCCTATGTCTTGTGAGCATGTTGGCTGCAACAGTGTTCCTTGAGAACTCTGGGCCCAGCGTTGTCATGCAAGAGGATGACTTTTCATCACTTAATAGCTTTTGGTTGTCTTTTTTGCAACAATACATCGCTCATATTGTTCAATTAACTTTCATTCGGCTTTAGCAGCTCATGATGCACTACACATGACCGAATATTCCGCATCCGTGTCGAAGTGGATGGCTCTCCTGAGCTAACCCATGACTTTTTGGGTTTCGGATTGTGGTAGTAAATTTGCTTTTCAGGGCCAGTCACAAGACACTATAAGGAACTCTTCTTGTTTTTATTCGGTTAGCAATGAAACAGTTCGAAATGTCACTTTATATCAATTCGTACGCCATTTCCCTTCTTTTGGATATTTCCAGTTCCAGAGGTTCTGCGAGAGTTTGAGTTAGGTTTTCGTCCAATAAGTGTTACAATTTATTGTTCTCGAACTTTTTTGGTCCTCCCGGGCTTTCTTACTTATTGATATCGAAATAACGATTTTTAAACTTTTGAAACCAAAATTGCAAAAATGGGATATGATAGAGCAAGATTGCTATAAACTTCTAAAAATGTTTGATGATTGAATTTAATACGTTAATACTTTATTTTCACCAATTGATGTCGCTGACCAAAATATATGCAAGCGCCTATTATTTCCAATTTATTTCCCATTTATTCTAAATTACACTGGAGTAAATTTTATTAGCTGCGGATGTGTTAGCAAGCCGGTCGGAACCATTCTTGGATTGAACGTGAAGCTGACACTAGTGAACATCTGTATCGCAAGCTCTCCAAATCTTCATGGGAACGCAAGTTATATAAAGTCGTAAATGAATTTAATTCGTGGCGCGACACAAGAAATCTTCAGAATATTCTTTTCAATAGTGTATAAGTCGGAATAACTGAATAGTGTCAGGAATTAAAAGAAAAATTCCCATTCGCTCACAGAAGCAGGTTTGTGTTTGTTAAGTTAAGCTGCTTAAGACAGATGTTAGCCTACTAAAACTCTGTAAATCAAGATCATTTCCTTGCCGCGTGTTTTTCTGTCTTCTTTTAGTAGATCAAATATTCGCGCTACCGACATCTGTGTTTTTCTCTCAAATTTTGTCGCACTAACCTCAGCATCACTTATAGCCCATCAGCAGATTAGGTAACTGCTCCTCGCTTATTATAACCACTACATTCAGATATTGTGTTCTTTCACAAAAGCAATTGTAGAGTTGTAAAAACTGTCACTAGAATGAAATGTTCTTTTATGAATTCAAACGTAGATAAGAAACATTCCCCTGCTTTTTTTAGATCAAAACCGGATACAAATTTTCTTCCCTCTTTAAAAAATTTAGAAGAGAGATATTTTTAAAAAGTTGCAAATAAATTGTTACAAAGCATATCTCTTATTTATTAGCCTCTCAAAAAAAAAGCAAGTCAGAACATTATATGCGGGCAAGGCGGACCATTAGATTCCCTGCATCACCTCATCACCCAAAATTGCACATCATTTTTTTGCAAAGACACACTTTCTGTAATAGCGCACATATTGGAGGATGTCCAAAACATCACATTTCATCACAAAAAACCAGAAATTCAGCTTTCTCTTTCATGATAACCCCTATTCATAAGAAATTTGTATGGAGTGGTGTCCAAGAAATCGCCCCAGGCGGTTTAAATTTGATTCACTTAATTTTTATGTCAAATTACAAATTTTCTTCGTACAACATTAGCAATTAGGTGTTTTTGTCATGTAAGGATTTACATTTCCTGAGAATTCTTATATACGCTAGTATCCAGAAAATAGGCTTACGTAGCCCGAGCACAGTAAATTTGACTATGTCAATTTACTATTATGAGAAAATTTTCATTAAATATTGAAAATTATATCACTTTACCATATGTAGATTCAGTTTTCGTAGAAATGGTTACATGAGAGGAGATTCAAAAATTATCACAGCCGTACAAAATTTTTTACACGAGTTTAGAATAATAAGGTGTTATTACTCAGCGAGTTTTGTCGAAAAATTGTAAAAATTTGAATTTTTTTCAATAGAATGGTCGAAAAAGTGCGTCGATCAGTACTCAACTGTACACTCAAACCTCTTTTTGGGCGGTCTTTGTTCGTGAGTTTGTGCGGTCTCTATTCACCGCGTAAAAATAAATCTATGTTGCGAAAACTATTGTTTATAGCTACACTTAAACCTGTTTTTGTGCGGTCTTTGTTTGTGCGTTTATGCGATCTGTTCATATCACTGATAAACTGTGGCAACAGGTGTATGAAGCCAACATATATAAAACGAACAGCAAAAAAAATTTAATTCTTTTCCATTTTATTTTATTTCGAACGGTTCAGTTTGAATCAACACCAATGTACTATGTCTTAACAATGATGATATTACCAGACAATAATTTTCTCTTACTTGTGTTTAAATTTATTTATTAATTTTCTTTTGATGTTCTTTCATACTCTAATTTTCCTACTTTCTTACCTTGTTCTGCTCTCTCTTCATTTTTTTCGTATTTTTAGACATTTTTGTTTCAAATTTAAAAGATAAAGCAAACGACCGACCGCGTAACGAATAAAGCAGCAACATTTAATTTGACAAAAAGCGAGAGAGAGAAAATTATAAAACTAACACATACAAGCAAGCTGCAACAAAAACACCCAAGCAGCTAGCCAAGTCATCAACAAACGGAGAAATGTACCAGGGGACTGCTAGTTATTGCGCGAAACTAACAATGCTGAAGAACGTTCTTTCTCAAATAAATTATTAGTAACAACTTGAACGCTCAATAAATAATTTGATTAAAAAAAAATTAATGCAAAATGTATACAAGGAAGTCAATAAAAAATATTGATATTAAAAATTATTTTAAAACTATATAAAAGCTATATAAGCGAAAGTAAAGCGATAACATAAGTAAATGTAAGAGCAACACATGAGATACAGATTACGTGTTAGCGGTAAACACGATTAATATATAAACAAATGCAGAACAAAGTTTAAATGTTTAAACGGATTTAAGCGAAGACGTAGATCTGAGAGGAGTACATTGCCACAAATTTTAACAAAAATATGATTTATATTGATGATTCAGAACCGGAAGGGGGTAAGTGAGCACTTTATTAATATACGCAAATAAAAAAGAAGCATTCGTCTTATGGCGAATTTTAAATATTCGCCATGTCCAACAAAAATTTTAAAGTCTTCATTCTTTATATTTATTGCAAACATTCCAATACTCGTTTAAGCCCATTTAACCCTTTTTTTCTAGCCATAAGCAACGTTTTCCTAAACTATCAACCTATCCGAACGTTATTGCTTATAACTTATATTGATATAAAGTAAAAGTATACGTTCCAAATTATATTTCTTGTTAAAATGAAAGTTTCGCTACTAGGAGGACGGGGGAAAAGATGGTTGTGTCTAAATTTATTCAATCCCACTTGTGTCCGTCAAGAATCAAGAATATGTACGCTTTCTGTGACGTCTATGACAGAATCACAAAGTTAGCACACTTCAATTCATCGGTGGTGCGTAAAAGATATTACAAAAATAAGCTAAACAAAAATGTTAAGCATGTGATCACCATGTTGTCTTTATGTGTCGTGTGGGTCTTAACATTTATAAATACAATTTTCCTTTTAACGAAATATTTTATTATAGAATATGTGGAGGTTCTGATAAGTTTTCAGCCACGTATTGATGCTTGTTATAAACTTGAACTCGCATACATTCTTTGTGCAAATCGCTCATACGCACTGTTATAGTGAAACGTAAGACAAATCCGTTACCTTTTCTTCTTTTAAAGAAAACGTCAAACGAAATTATTTCTAATTAAGAAATGGAAACACATTACACTGTATTTATTAATTATCATCTTCATTTCCTGACGTGCGCCTGAGATTTAATTGTTTTCCGCCATCGCTGTTGGTTTTTTTTTTGCTGATTTTACTCAGTTAACTAAATGTAAAACAAAAAACGCATCATTTTGGCATTTAACCAAAATCATCATAAAAAATTTTATACAAACTAAACGCACGCGTATTTACGTATCTGTATATGCTGATATTTCGACAAAAGTATTTAAAATTCGAAGGCATTATGGTCGAAGAAAGAAAATAAGCAAAACATAGAGAGCAGTGTGAAAATATTAATGCAAAACAAAATGAGAATGAAAAAAAAAATTCTTAAAGAATGACTAAGGCTTTTAAGCTTATATGTAGCAAAACTTTCTTGTAGGTAGACATAGATACAAATGTATGAAAATAGTTGCGTGGTTCAAATTTTCCTTTTACAAACTACCTAGACGTGCAAATTATAAATTCACGTAAGATAATAGGAAAGGAAAGGCATTTCATTTTGCAAAACTTAAATATAATTCACCAGCCTTCTTCGAAAACGATATAGCTCAATGCTTCCTTAACATTTCATTGCTTTTCTTATAAAACGGTTTGTTGAAACCCATAAAACGCATTTCAGGTTCTGTAATCACCCCATCATTTGATCTAAATGTCTTTACCTGAAGGAGCATTTTAAATTTGCTAATAATAGGAGGAGGTAACACATCTTCAGACTGGTGGGCGGAGTAACAATTCCAACCTTACTTAATTTAGGCAATTTCTTTTGCGATTTCATTTTTCGATTGCCGAAATTAATTGTCAAGCATTTTTCGTGCTTTTCAGCCTTTGAGGTATAAGCTCCCTTTTCAGGCTTTCACCACGCCGGTGTTCAGCGTCGCCTGCCTCCGTATGACTTAGTGCAAAATCAACAAACTGACGAGACACTACTGTTTTCGATAGAAAACAAGAGAAAAAAGCGAAAGTAACGTCACTGCAACTTTGATTTGCGGGACTTTTTGACCGATTATTACCTATACACACAGGTAGATCAAAATTATCTGATGTACTATACGTTCACAAAAAACATTCGGTTTATAAACATAACTAACATTACAAAGACTTACAATACAAATTTGCATTAGTATATTTTTATTGACATCAGTACGTTTCCAACGTATACATCCAAGAACAAAATTTACACTGTACTGCATTCTTGGCCATTCAAAGTCATGGACAACGTATTCCTATTCTTATGATCACACATTTACACACAATCTGAACCACTTGCTCAAACATAAATCGCATCGAGATAGACTAAAATTTCCCCTTAAAAAATTTCTCTATTTAAATTTAATTACACTGGCCTTCACCTGGCACGAAAAAAAGTTTTTTGGATTACGAGGAAGAAATTCATAGCTGCGCTTTATGAAGACAAACTATGATTCCTTTCAAAGAAGATATTCAAAAAAAACGCACTTCATTTCATACAAATGTAAACATGCATGTAATACCTGCTTTTTTTGTGAAACTCTGTTGTAAAGCTCACAGCTTTACATACTATATATAATATTACTGCATACATAATTACATACACGTTCGTGCACACAACTCCTCAACCCAAAAGACATTTGCATACACGATTAGTATGCTTCCCAAGCTAATGTAAAAAACTACACCAGTTTTAATCAACATAAGTGCAAATTCATGAGCTGAAAACGTTATCTAAAACGTATTCAAATATATAAACAACCATCACGAAAGACTATGCGAAAATTGGTGAAATTCGGACTTTTCACCTGCGCATAACCATTCTTAGGTTACAATAAAAATTTCGGTATCGAAAGGATTGATGACTAAACCACTCACGGAAGAAATGATTCAGTTAGGCGATGACATTATGCGGGGAGAATTACGGAGAGCAGTGTGTAGTTGACCATGAAGCCAAAAGTGAGCACTCCACAAATGACATCTAAACTATAAATGACGCTCATAAAAAAGCTGAAAAAACGAACAAACGAAACCAAAAACAATGTATTTAGAACACAAAAATATTTTGCGCTATTGACTGCTAAAAGTCATCAAAGATGAATGAGGGCGGTTGTGGTCCAATGTTGTACAATCATTGCGTTCATTTAAAAAAAAGTAAATAAAAAAATTAAGTCTTGGTATTCTATAAGTTACATTATATAAATATAAATTGGACGGGCATAGTCAATTTTTTCTAATCTGTACCGTAAAGACACTCATAGAATACACGGTATTTTTTTACTGCTGTTTCTCCTCTACCGCAAGATTAACACGCAAATAACACTTGAAAACAGATTTGTTCTCAGTTTATGTTGTATTGGAGCTGTTTCTTCTTTTTAAAATGAGTGTATTCCGAAACAAAAGAAAATAAAGCCACTACGGCGACGCATATAAACTTCATAACGAATTGTCGGGTGGCCACTATTTTTCGGTGGAAAAGAAAAACGCTTTCAATAGACATGAAAAATATCAAGTAGTCCAGAAAATTCTTGCGGATGTTTCCCGACGTCAGTTTTAACGTTAACTTATACATGCTTATACATAGTTTTGTAGAGCAGGTTTAAGTTTATTTTGTAAAAAGATTTAAAAGCGGTTGGTTCTATTATAGTAGTGAGGCGCAATTTTTAATATGAAACTAATAGTGAGCGTATAAGACATATCTCATTTTTTTATTTAAAAAAAAATCCGAAAAGCTGCAGAAGTACATAAAGAAATAAGTTCTATGAATTGAGCTAACGCTGTAGCATAACGCACTTTCCAAAATTGGTTTCCAAAATTTCGTTAGGCAAATTTTTGAAAGCTTTACGGTGTTCTGATAGGCCAAATAACTGTAATGAATGTAATTTAATGATGTTTAATGATGGAAGCCCAGTCTACCCCTAAGCTGGTCGGCTTCAGTGCGCCAAGTCTTTTCGTCTCTTATAATGCCGATAAGTCTCGGCAAGAGACGGTCCCTAATCTTTATGCTTCAGGCGGATTGAAGGCCTTGTATTTTCAGCGAGTTAAACGCTAAGTTGAATTGTTTGATGACAACTGAATTTCGTTATTTTCTTTGGCACTATTTATACTTAATTTTTACATTAAATTATTCTTATCTAAGCAGAATTATAATTGTTTACATGCGGCATCGTATTGCATTACGAAATGCAATACTCACCCTGGTGAAGTGTGACATAAATTTTATTTTTATTTTACCAAATGGATTATGGTGAAGTCACACAAATTCTGTCACATTTCAAGTGGATGCGTACAATAGTATGCGATCACACTACATAACTTTGATGACGGCCAACACATACACATCGACACAACGGTTTATGAGATTCCAGAAAAACTTAATTCATGCGAAACGCTTGTTAAGACGAGACCAAAACAATCCATTTCTGAGGAGAAATGTAATTGCTAATGAAAAGTGGATACTCTAAAAATGTGTGCAACACAACAAATCATGTTCAAAATCTAGAGAGCCATTTCCAAAAACACCCAAATCTGATATTCGCGAAAAGAAGATTTCGCTGTCATTTCGGTGGGTTTATAAAGGAATTGTATATTATGAGCTTCTGTGGCATAACAAAGCCATTAATTCCGAGGTACACAGCGAACAGCTAACAAATTAAATGAGGCCTTGCAGCAAAAACATGTAGAAGCGGTTAACCGATAAAATATTGTTTTTCATCACGACAATGCAAGACATCATACTTCTTCCCTCACTGGTCAAAAATTGGCTGGGAATTATTATCACATTCACCATATAGTCCTGGCATTACGCCATCAACATTACCTTCTATTTCGTTCTCTGCAAGATTCTTTATCTGGCAATTCAGATGGCAGTATAAATTTGTATATAGAAAATTTTTTTGCTGCAAAAGATAAGAAATTTTATAAAGAAGGCATAATGAAATTGCCTGAAAAGTGGCAACCGATTATTGAAAAAAATAGCAAATATAAGTGAAATTTATTTCTTATATAATAAAAATTATCTTTTTTCGTAGTGAAAAACTGCAAAAAACTTCCGGACAAACTTAATATTGTATAAAAAAGCTAATATGATTGCCCGCACATACGTTACTATCGATTAAACGCGCTACTTTAAATGTACTTTACGAAGAACGTATAAGAATTCCAAAAAGGGCGAACTAAATTCATAATGAGAATAGCGTCAATGGTTACCGTAGAAACAGTTTAAAGTGCTATTGTACATGCACACTATCCTATTTACTAATGGTAATTACTGTAGATT